AGCAGGTCGAAGATGGCACTCGGCTCGGTATCACAGTGGGTTCGAACTCGGCCGAGAGACAAGGGTCTCTTGGAGAAATGCGAATGGACCAAATGGGTCGCCAAACTCGGTAGCACACTGGTTTCATACTCCTCAAGAAATATGGGTATTTGGGGAAACTTGGATAGACTGATACTATGGTGTTCAAGAAAAGACATAAACAATGACATTGCGCAGTGCAAATTTGACACGTGGCGTCTTCTCACTTTGCGAAGGACCGTGATTTTGGGTGCGTGGTTCCACTTCGGCCTAGGTCGAACCGAAAACTGAGAGATTGGGCAAATATGGCACAGAGTTGAGTGGGCGGCGCGCCTCCATCACTAGGCCCCATGCCACTTGCACGTTTTGAGCTGCAGTAGGTCGGTTTCCATGTGCTTTCCCAGGTGACGTAGTCATTCCATGTAGCAATGGGTGTGATTGATCAAGACTTCCAATTTCTTTTAGGCCTCGGACCTTTACAAACTTGGACTGGGCCGTGGGTCGTGGGTTTGTCTTTTGGCCTTGGGTCGAATGGTTTCGGCCCAAGCTCCACAAGGCCTCGTGGTTCCAGCCTGGGCCGAGTCCGTTGTCATGGTCATGGGCCTTTAAAGCTGGGTTTGTAATCAGGTCAGTTGGGCCAAACTTGTGACAAAAATGGCCCATATCATGTCATTAATGCTCATGGGGCCCATACAGAAAATTTCTGGGATTTACTCTCACACCCACCAAGACACACATCTGGGATTTCTTTGTGGGCCTTGAGTTTTGGCAGATCCTCTGTGGTCAAATTAACAGAATGTGCATATTAATACAATCTTAAAACGTTTTAGGATGCAAATTAAGGAAATTTGATTCAAAAATATTTTACTTTAATTTTTAATTGGGTATAATGTCGTTAGCCCTAAAGTTATCTACTGTGTGTTACTGTTGCAATCAAACATTGTGGTTTTTCACATGAAAACTTCCTGCGTGGGTTGAAGATAGACCACGTGTTCGTTTGTTTAAAGAGGTCCCTAAACCGGTGTCGTTTGCTGGTCCAAGAGAAAGAAGGCATAAAATTTAGCCGCGAACAACCAAAAACCGCTCCTAAACCCTCTCAGTTTCAGACTTCAGAGTTGAGAGAGAAATGTTTCGGAGCCGAGTCGTAGCGTTGTTTGTGAAGAACAACAGCAAAGCTCTGAACAATCTCAGGGGAACGACGCCGTCTAGGGTTCTGAACGAGGAATCTTATCGATTATTCTCTACTGGAGCCACACGCAAATGCTTGGATGGCTTTCGATCTTTCTCTAAGGTTCCTTTCTCTCTTTGTTTTTTAAAATTCTTTTGAATTCATTTTTGGAAAGTAAATTCGAAAAAATTATATTAAAGTTCAGTGCTTTAGATTTTAGATGGTGGATTGTGAATGCAGAATTAGGGAAGCTTTTCACAACTGGGACAAGCTTTGCAGTTTCATTTCCAGCCGTGGAATGTTTATTTGAGTAGTATTTTTTCTGATAATCAAAACCATTCAGTTAAGAATTTTGAGATTTAATTATGAAATAATGGATTTTGAGTTTCATTTTGTTATTGTAACCAATGGGAAAAAGATATAGATTGGAATTAGAGAATCAGAGAACTGCGGGTTTTCAGTTGTAAACTTGTAGCATATCATCGAATGCAGCTGGTTTTCAATTTTTGAAGTAGCTCCTTTTCCCATGATGAATAAATGCACCAAAAACAAATTTTTGCAATTTAACTAGTTAAGCTGGGATGTGTTGTGAAATAATAAATAAAAAGGAAGTTTCTTATGCCATTTTCAGGGTAACTATGTACCATCTATGAGGAATATGTCCACTGTTGCTTCTGTAGGCATTGGAAATAAGGAGGGATTGAAGCTTCTTGTAAATGGAGGACCTCATGCTCAGAAAATGGTTGGCATTTGGCTTTTTGGCTCTGCTGCATGGGTGTTTAGTATGGTGATACTTGGCGGTATTACACGACTAACGAGATCTGGTCTTTCGATGACTGATTGGAAATTTACTGGGGGGCTTCCTCCTCTCTCAGATGAGGATTGGTTGCTTGAGTTTGAGAAGTACAAGCAGTCCCCTGAGTATAAGCGGTTAGTGCAAAGTGGAAACAGCAGTGTACATTTTTGCAGCAATAGTTTTAGTTTTCATTTTAAGCACTTTTTAGCTCATAGTGATCTGCCTCTAAACTTGAAATTACATTAAAAGTCTTCCAGAATTGCTTAAGTTTGATTACAAATGCAATCCTCTATTGGCTGGAAGCAAAACAGAAAATGTGTGCTTTGAACTGAATGACTATATGAGTGATGATAATTTTACTGTTCATGTGTCTTTTTAGCTTTTTGTAGTTTACTTTAACCCAGATTTGTAGGATTGAAGAATTACATATTTGATATTACATTGTTGCTTTCAATGGGAGTTGAAGTTCTTTTGGACCCTTATAATGTTACCTGGTTCTTGGTCTCATGTAGTGTAAATCAAGGGATGAGTATTGAAGATTTCAAATTCATCTATTGGATGGAATATGCACATCGAATGTGGGGAAGGGGACTGGGAATTATGTTTGCGTTGCCCTTCTCGTATTTTCTCCGCAAGGGGTATATTACCGTACAACTTGGACTGAGACTCTCTGCTCTTTTTGGTCTTGGTGCTGGGCAGGGTTTAATTGGCTGGTGGATGGTTAAAAGTGGTTTAGAGGTCAGATATGGTTTCTCTTGTTGTGGTTTTGATTGAAATTTAATAAAAGCAATTGATTTTTGAAATAATTCTCTCTCACAGGAGCCAGCATCTGAATATGCTCAGCCAAGAGTAAGCCCTTACCGTCTTGCAGCCCATCTTACTTCAGCCTTTGCTATATACTGTGGCCTTTTATGGACAGGTCTTTCTGTTGTCATGCCTGAACCACCTTCTGAATCACTAGCTTGGGTTCATGGGGCAGCTAAGGTGAAGCGACTTGCCCTTCCTGTAAGCTTACTTGTCGGAGTAACTGCTGTCTCAGGAGCATTTGTAGCCGGGAATGATGCTGTATGTAATTTTTGTTTTCCTTCTTGCCTTTCACAATGAACTGAATGGATGGTATGTGGCTTTTGCTGAGTAGGAGATATAAATATGCTTGTGTGTGAAAATTCCAGGGGCATGCTTTTAATACTTTTCCAAAGATGGGGGATACATGGATCCCAGGGGATGTTTTTGACATGAAGCCACTAATCCGGAACTTCTTTGAGAATACATCTACTGTGCAGGTATCTTTCTGACCAAAGAATATATTTTATTTTAGTTTTTTGCAACTTAATGTTGCTATATGTTGCTCTAAGGTTGCTTTTATGATGACAAGGGAAATATTACCAAAAAAAAAAAAAAAAAAAGGAGTTAAAAATTGGAAAGATGTCTTATTTTAAGTTTCTTCCTTCAGTAAAAAAACATCTGTTTTCTGTAGTAACAAATGAAATGCGATTATGTTATCATCATAATGTGTTTCGGCTAGCAGCCGTTTCTTTGTCTTCTTTGAGCTTAATTTCTTGTGATGAAAACCATTTTCTTTAGGCGACTATGATTTTGTGAAATTATAGAATTCTTAAATCTTCTACTGCGTATTAGCTTGTTCTGTAATCTTTTCAAATTTCAAACATGAAGTAGGATTGTGATTAATTATTGTTCTTCCTGTTTGTAGCTTGATCATCGTATCCTTGCAACTGCAACTTTATTTTCAATTGGTGCTTTGTGGTGGTCAACAAGGAAGTTTGACATACATCCTGCAGTTCGGTCTTTGATTGGAAGTGCTGTAGGCATGGCTGGCCTTCAGGTATATATGGTTTCCAACTTTTCATTCCTTTTTTTCTCTTCTCCTTCGAATTATTTCATTAGTTTGACCAGGTTGATTTTAATTGCTTTGCACAATTCGTTGTGTTATCTTTTCAGGTCACACTGGGAATATCTACACTGCTGTCATATGTGCCTGTAGAGCTTGGTACAGCACATCAAGCTGGGGCTTTGACTCTCCTGACACTGATGATCCTTCTCAATCACACTTTGCGTAGGCCATCACCGTCTCTTCTTAAATCTCTACCGCAAGTTGCAAAGACAATCTAGATGACTTTGTAGTACATTTTTGAACAACTATTTGACATTTTAATTGGATGAAACAAAAAGAGTTATTGAATTCTTGTGCTCTATGTATATATCGCTGGTGATAAAGCTGGGAGTTATTTTCTGGATGTGCAGAGATGTGCTTGTAGTTCGGACTTTTATTCCATTGTTATCGAGTGACCACCAGTTCTTCAGCTTACCGAGGACACCTTTGAGTGGTAAGTGGTAATTCCTGATTCTGAGATGGAGCATAGTGAGCCTGAGATTTTGGGGCAGTTTTGCATTTGGGGAATATTAATTTGTGATATATATATAGGTTCCGGTATTATGATTTCTGATATGAGTTCTTTTCCTACCATAAGTATTTGTGATGGTTGATACTAGTCTATATCTACATCAGAAGTCTCAGTCTCATTTGAATCATATACCCGAAAGAAAAAAAAAGAACACTGAAAACTATGATTGGTTCATATCAGGCCCATAAGTATGCCCACCTCTTAAGGGATTTAATCCATATTGACGACAATGTCGAACTACTTGAGAGAGAGAAAGAAAGTTGGGCTGATTAAATCGAATGCAAATAATAAGATTAAAGATGGGTCTTTCTGCTGGTGATTAAAAAGCTTGATGTAATGTAACGCGGCTCGTTAATAATTTGTTTGTTGTAATTAAATTTAATGAAGATTGGGCTGAATAACTGCAAGCTAGCCCTTGGGTGAGAGTTGGAAGCTGAAGAGGAAAAGCGACACAAAGTTGGGTTGGGCTTGGGCCTCTATACCCAAAGTTGTTGAGGGAGCTTCTAGAATGCGGAGGTTATTATGAGGAGGTTATGTGCGGAATGATAACAACCGTCAGTTTCAAATGAACGGTTTCGATTTAAGTAGGAAGTTTTGTTACAACCGGGTTAAAATTACCCATCACAAAATGAGCAACCCGGAACTTCTCTCTCATATCTCCTCTTTTCTTTGAAACAGAGGTCCAAAGTCCTATGTCTGAAACTTCCTCTGGAAGACAAACAAGAGCTGTCCCTTTCCAACTTCCAGAAGCCGAATTTGCTACTCCGAAAAGAAAAAAACAAAGACACTCAACTGTGGAGAACGCTGCTGAAGGAGGAGGAACAAGGGTTGAAGCCCACAACTCAATTCTTTCACTGGTATGTGATTTTTCAGCCATATTACAAATCCTTTTATTCAAAAAATATTCTATTTTTTTAGCCCCTGTCATTAATGTTGTAGAAAATGGCTCATCATTACCCATTACCTAAGAGCTCTCTTATTTTGTCTTTGTGTCACAAAAATTATTTGCAAGATCGTCATAGTAGAGAGAAGAAGAAAAAGAGACAAATGATATGTTGAAAGAGCCTCCAGTAGTCTCTCACTCGCCTAACTTTGCACTCCGTTTCTGAACAAGTAAAACCCAAGTTTTGAAGAACTTGCAGTACTCTTCTTCAACTCCAATTGTGGTGGTAAGTCAAACACTGCAAAACCACTTCTCTTTGTTTCTAAGTTTCACTCATTTTGCTTTTAATGTTTTCCAATTTCTTGTAATCATTATTATTTTTTTGTTATCTTTTGTATTTATATTTCATTTGAAAATTTGATTTTTACAGTTTTTATTTTATTTTCATACATAAATATTCTTTCTTGCTTTTAACCCCTTATTGCTTTGGGTTTTATTATGATGCCTTTAGTATATTGACTTTAAGCTTTGTTGAATCAACAATTAATAAATAATGAAAATAACAACACGTTAATCTAATGGTGATCTTTATGGGTATTGCATACATATAGTAAAAACAAGTTCTCTAAAAATATATTGGGTTTGTCCTGCCTCAATTTATTTTATGGATTTCTAATAATTGATAATCTGCTACAGGTTGACACAAGTTTGCATCTTAATTTTCCACATGTGCTCTTATGGAAAAGTTTAATTGAATCAACATAGAGGAGACATTAAACGGAAGCAAGAAACAGAAGGATCAATTTTGCTCCATAACATAGGGTAGTTGCATTCAAATTCTTAGATTTGTTGCTGGTAAGTTTTTTTTTAAATCATTATAAATGTCTTTGTTTTCAACTGATGATGGTACAAGATTTAAATTGTTTTCATGATTATTTTGTTTTGTTTTAGCTATTTCTGAAATGTTTGATTCAAATGTTATCTAAGGTATCAATAATATGTGAGTAAAATGGTTGAGGACTCAGAGGAGAATGATGATTATGTAATCGCTGATGAAATGATTTTCATTCCTGAAGTCAGAAATGAGGAAAGACCAAAAGTTGGGATGAAGTTTGATTCACTTGATTTAGTTTATGATTTCTACAATACGTATGCTTTATTGGCTGGCTTTAGTATTCGACGCCATTCCAGCGGAAGGGAAAAATACAGTAAAGAAATTCTAAGAAAAGAATTTGTATGTTGCAAACAAGGTGTGTTTAAAAAAGAAGAGCCTATGGCGGTAAAAAGACACCGAGGGATAAGTAGATGTGGTTGCAAGGCTAGAGTTGTTGTTGTGAAGGTTTCTAGGTGCAAGCAGTATGCTTTCTCTCTCGTTGTAGAGGGACACAATCATACGATGACCCCCCCCCCCCAGAAAGAGTGCATTTTATGAGATCACACCGTCATATTTCAAAACCTGCAAAGCTACTGACAAAACAACTCGGTTCAGCTGATATACCTACTCATAAAAAGATGAGTATTTTGGAGGTGCAATCTGGAGGAATGGAGAAAATTGGTTTTACCAAAAAGGATATTTACAATTTTGAATATTATGAGAGTAGCCTGATGAAGAACCATGATGTTGAACTGGTGACTGAGTATTTTTTAGCTGAACAGAAAAACAATAGATCATTTTATTTCAAGATTGAGGGAGATTCTAATGACAGACTTACTCGATGTTTTTGGGCAGATGCAACTTCTAGACGAGCATACGGGTTTTATGGAGATGTTGTCATGCTCGATACCACATTCAACACGAATCGATATGGCTTGCCATTTGCACCAATGTTGGGGGTTAATAACCATGGTCAGACAATTGTTTTCGCATGTGCATTTTTAAGTAAGGAAACGACTGAGTCATTTATTTGGATGTTTGAGGAGTTTAAGAAAGCTATGCCAGGTGGTGAGCCAAAAATGATCATTACAGATCAAGATGCAGCTATGGCTAGAGCGATTTTTGAAGTATTCACCACTACATTTCATCGACTTTGCATATGGCACATCACAACCAAGTTCTCTGATAAACTACCACGGACTGTTTATGAGGAATATTGGAAAGATTTTAAGGAAACCATCTAGGAGATTGACAATATAGATGAATTTGAAGAAAAATGGCATGCAATTGTTACAAAATCTGGTTTGACTGATCATCCATGGCTGAGTTCAGTTTTTGATTTGCGAAAATCATGGGTTCCAGCCTATGTAAAACATATTTTTGCTGCTGAAATGTCAAGCAGTCAAAGAGCAGAAGGCTCTCATGCATTTTTCAAGCAATATATATCAAGGAGAAATTCATTAATGGATTTCATAACACGATTTCAAAGGGCACTTTCCCATCAACGTCAAAATGAGTTACTTGCTGATCACATTGATGCATTTGAAAAGCCTCAATGTGCTTTATTGATGACAATGGATAAACAAATGGTTGAAATATACACAAAGGCAATGTTTCAAAGGTTTGAACATGAGCTAATGCAAAGTTTACCGTGTTTTATGGAACTGAAAATGGATGACGCTTCCAAAGCTATCTATAAAGTGAGTGAAAGGAAAAGGGGGAAAACAAGAGTGAAAGAAGTTGTATATGATAAATATTCCGATCAATGGTCATGTAGTTGTAAAGGATTTGAACTTATTGGAATTCTTTGTTGCCATGCGCTGGCATTGTTAAAAAGGGAGCAAATTGAATATCTGCCCAATAAATACATTTTGAATAGATGGAAGAAAACTGCAAAATCTGGACTTGTATCAGATTCAAATGGCAATGAAATTAAAGATTGTGAGAACAATTCTCTCCTAATAAAACGAAGTAGAATGTCCAGACTTGCTTCAGATGTAATTGAGCATGCCTTAATGTCCGAAGAAGGTTATGAGCTACTGTCGAATAATCTAAACGATACGCGGGTGACGTTGAAGTTATTGAATGATGGGGTTGGTCCTAGTGAAGTTGGAGGGTCCAGCTCCCAAACACAATATTTGAAGGACCCTAAAAGAGTAACGCACAAAGGAAGCTCGAAACGAGTAAAGGGAGCAAAGGAAACGAGAATGGAGCGAGGGATCCGACATTGTCAGCAATGTGGACAAACTAGTCATGATATAAGACGATGTCCAAGAATGGCGAACACACCGTAAGATTGTACAAATATTTATAAATAATAGCTAAAATTCCAAGTGGTTTATTTTATTGTAATATTATGCTTGGTGTTTATGCAGGACATCCCCATCAAACAATGAAGAATCAACTCCGATCAATCTTAGTGACCCGTTATTCGATGAATTTGATAGCATGCACGGACCTACCAAGTGATTTATGTTTTTACTATACGAAGCTCATTTGCCGTCAATATTGGTGAGCTTCAATATGAAGAAATCTTATTATTTTGTGTTGTTTCATTTTGTATCAACTTTTGTGTTTTTTTCCTTGATTGGTTTCGGTTTTCTTTGAAGTTTTTTTGTTTCTCGATTGGTGGTGTTAATTTTTTGGAGCCTTTCTTTCTTGCTTTCTTTTGCCTTTGTATTTTTATGATGTTAGTCGTTTTAGGATTTTTTTTTCTTTCTTTTAAATAATCTCCCTCTTGAGATATTTGACAATTCTTTTTTATGGCAGTTGGACCTAGATTTTTGACTTATGGAAGATTGTTGTCATTGAGAACCTTCATCAATTTGGCTTTTTTTATGACAGTTGGACCTATCAACTCTTAATTTTGACAATGCGCATGAAAGGTTGTCACATCCTTTTTTGAGAAAAGACATTATATACATTCGATGTATATTGCGTGTATATTGTTCGTCTATTGCTTGTTATTGCAAGCTTATTAATTGTGTATTGATTGTTCATTGTCTTTGTATAGCCATATATTGCCTTTTATGATAATACGGGGACAATACAAGGCAATTAGGAGCAATACAGTGGCAATATAAAGGCAATTAGGGGCAATGCAGTGGCAAAATGAAGGCAATTGGAGGCTATATAGTGCCAATACTAGGGCAATAGGAGGCTATACATTGGCAATACAAAAACTCCAATAGTCCACGATTTTGTAAACATTGCTATCT